TTGTAAGGTAATATGAGAAGCTATACCATGTGATGATTATAACAGAAACTTAGACCAAATTTTGAATAAATCTGGCCTACAGAGTGCATACTGAAATAGATTAGCTAGGTTGTTTCAGTGAATGCCACAAAATAAGATTATTATAATTGTGCCAGACACTATGATACTACTAGCCTGATTAGGAATTTTCACTTTTTCAAAATAATAAACAAAAGTATATACATTAGACGGATTAATCTCTTAACAGATAAATTTTCTCAATGTATAATGCTATTCGCGGATTTCAAATCAAATATTAATCTTGCTGCTATTCTGTTATTAACATAAAACCATTACTATTCAATGTCTCATAACAAAAGCTGTCTAATTAATGCCGAAAAAACGAGTCACTATCACGGATACAATCGTCGAGGGTTTAATTAACGTAATTAAAAACCGCACGTTTCACGCTAAAAATTGTTAAGACTAGGAAGTACTGTAGATTTCCAAAGAACATGGTAAAAATAGTAAACATCTTGCTGCATACGAAAATACATCTGATATTGCCAATCATATAATAAAATTAACTAATCTTCGATCGTTCACGCTCACAGGGAAGCGTAACGAGTATTTTTATACCTCGAGCGATTCGAAAATATAAGATCAGGGAAGTCAGTCTTGACAGTAAAAAAAGATTTGAGAGCAGGACGAACCGACGCGAAGGGGGAAAAAAAAGGAGGAAAAGAAAAGTGTTTTCGGGAACGAAACATAATCTTAGAAAAGGTATAAGCTAGCTCTGGCCGGATTAAATTTAGAATTGGTCGGGTGGGCTTCGGCTTACCGGGTCCTAAATCCTCTCTGACGTGTAGCGCACAGAGTACGCTGTGCGCGATGTCGAAGTACGGGAACATTTTCAATTTAATGACCTGATTGGCCATATCCAGGAATGCTTCGGGATCCATTTTGATTGATTTCCACACAATTTACGGTACACCAAAGCTTTGTCGGCCACGAGGAGTGTGTCTTTCAATGTTCGACAATATTCGATTTTAAAACGCTGACTCAGGCGCCCGCGAACGACGCTAGCTATGCGCCGTCTGCTAGACTCGGTCGTCTGCTAGTTATGGAACCCGGCCCACCTACCATTATAATACCACCGACGAGGGATAGGAAAAAAAACCTTATCGTCTGTAGTCGAATTTTGATGCCTCTTTAAAACTCTTACCTACAGATGGCAGTAAATGATTGTATTAGTACGTCCCGTTCATGTTCGCTTTTCGTTACGAAATAATTTGAAATTAAATCACGTTAACGTTGCACACGGAATAGAATACGTTAGAATACGAATACATCCAGTGATATCTGTATGTACACTTTTAGCAGAGCAATTACTAAACGTAGTGTAATTATATACTCGTACACAATGATTCTACGTATACATATCATATGCATATATATAGATGTACAATGAAAGTGTAAATTTCATGTAAAAGTTAATTAAGGCTTATATTCTATTTATAAATTAAAAAGAGAATATTCGTTTGAAACATATATGGACATAGAATTCAAGGTGTCCGAGTAATTCTGCATTTAAATATTTTACGTGTATACTCTGAGTAGATAGTTATTTCGTCCTTGATTATATCTTATCAAACAGGTATAGCATAAATTATTGGAATATTTGAATAAAGTTTTAATATTTGAATATCATTAGGTGAGACTTCGTACAGAAATCGTAGTTTCATTTAATACTCCTGTCTAATTCGTTTCTTCGATTCTACGTTTGTCCTGATTGTAGAGACCACTTTTATCTGGAATAAATGGTAAATATTTGCTAATTCTTATCCTGTTTGACATATTTTCAGGTATTTCAATTTTCAATCAGTCCTTTGAATAACCATGCAATTGTGTTTGAATGAATAATCCGTTTCAACTAACTTTCCTTTAAAGCTACATTCAAGTGTGTAAACGTAAATTAGTGTTAGTGAGAATCGAATAAATGAGTGAACACATCAATCTTTCTTTGAAAAAAATGTGATATACGTATCTAATCAGAGTGGCACATGAATACATGTGGCAATAATCTGTCCAAATGTTTTACAGCAAAGATTAAAATCGATTGGTAATAATGATCGACGATAGTAGCCGGGAATTATGTAAAGGAAAGGAAAGACCGAAATAACTGCCAAGTAATTACAATTTTCAAATGAGAAATAGAAACAGCAATAGGTGGCTCATCAAACTTGTTTCGCATGTCTCGTTTATCAGATTAATCTTCATAAATTAATCTCTGCAGTGGTTCATTGTTATTTGTAATCTTCACAGTCACAAACAATACTTTTATCGAAAGTACGATAAAAACGTAAATAAAAAAACGACGTTGTTGACTTATTTGATTCATTATTTGATTTGTGAATTGTTGTCAAACACAAACAATGGTAAACCTTTTTTCAAATATTTATTGTATTGTGCTTTTTATTCTTAGTATGTTAACAGTTGTTATTTGTAGAGAGACGGTATAAGATTTCGACAACATGTGTCAAAGAGAGCTTCTGGTGATATTTTGTACGAGGATAAAGCCTCTTTGAAAAGGAAGGAAGTATTACCAAATGAAAGTCAACACTTATTTTTTCTTTTCACTTTCTTTCTTTTGATATCGATCGCTATAATCGCTTTCGAGAAGAAGTTACCTGAACCGATAACATTAACTAAGGAAGGATTATATCCTGGAAGGTTTATTGCAGAAAGAGCACGTAATCATCTTGTAAATCTTACATCCATTGGTCCTCGAATTGTTGGAAGTTATGAAAATGAAGTGTTGGCAATTAAATATTTAACAAATATTATCAATAATATAGTTAAGGATGCTAGTGAAAATCACAAGATTCTAGTTAATGTAACCAAACATAGTGGAGCTTTCCCTTTGAAGTTCCTTGATGGAATGACAAATGTATATAAAAATGTACAAAATATCATTGTTAAAATTGGTCCACATATGCCTATGCATAGTAGCGTGCTATTAAATTGTCATTTTGATACTTTCCCTGATAGCCCTGGTAAGAAGGATTAGGTGAGTGCAAAAGTTTTGATGGTCTTCATTAATAGAACATAAGATATGCTTCTACTTTCTTGGATACATAAATAATACATGTAAATACTTTTAAATCTTGTTATGTTTTACTATTTAAAACCAGCAAAACTACTGCACTCATATAATGAAATAATTCTATCTATTACATTTAAGCAAATTGATGTATTATATTATTTTTTATTATAGGTGGATCTGATGATGGAGCTGGTTGTGCTGTGATGTTAGAAATTTTACGTGTGATTGCTCATAGTTCAAAATTACTAAAGCATAATATTATATTTCTATTTAATGGCGCTGAAGAAAATTTAATGCAGGTATAATATGTTACTTAACACCAATAATGAGCAATAGTTCAAGTGATTTATTACACTTTAGTTGATATCTACTTTCACATTTCTTAGGCTTCTCATGGTTTTATAACGCAACATGCCTGGGCCAAGGAAATACGTGCTTTCATAAATTTAGAAGCCTGTGGTGCAGGTGGTCGTGAATTATTATTTCAGGCTGGTCCTGACAGTTCTTGGTTGCTTCAAGTACTACTAAATTATACCATTATATTTACTAGGTAATTGTATCGTATATATACGACTTTGTTCTTATTGATTTTCTTTCTCTAGGTATACTCTAAGTCTGTTCCATATCCATATGCTTCATCCTTAGCACAAGAAATATTCGAAAGTGGTATTGTACCTGGTGACACCGATTTTCGGATATTTAGAGATTTTGGGAACGTTTCTGGTACATAGATTCAACTGATTTAATTCTATACTCTTACAAATAATTGAACACTTTATTAATTATATTATTTTAAAATCACAGGTCTCGATTTTGCTTGGTCAACCAACGGTTACGTGTACCATACAAAATTCGATAACATAGATCAAATACCCTTAGGATCTTTACAGAGAACGGGAGACAATATTCTCGCTTTACTACAAGGAATAGTATTAGATAGCAATTTATCTGAAGCAATTCAAAATAACCCAGGGAATCTTGTGTTCTTCGATTTCTTAGGCGCATTTGTCATTAGATGGCCACAATATATGGCTAGTACAATTAATGTTGTTAGCATAATTGTTGGTGTATGTTCTATATATTTAAATGCACATAGTGCACGAAGAGGTATAATTACATAATATTTGCATAAAGCGTATATTAAAATTATTTTGAATTAATTTCTATATATGTTTATTCAGATGTAAAGAAGTCGACATATGTAAAGCACATATTACTTTGTATTGGAGCAATAATTGTTTCATGGCTGCTGTCTATAATTTCATGTACAATGATTGCACTTGTTCTTACCAAACTCGGTAAAGTTATGAGTTGGTATGGAAGACCGGCTTGGTTGTTTTTCTTATATGTGTGCCCAACCATTTTTGTATCAATGATGTTTTTCTTGTTCGTTGGATTGCGGCAAAAGAAGGTAAGTAACCTTTTGATAACACCCATTGTATCAAATCTCACTGATGTATTAAATATTGTAGGAAGTTAAATCTGCGTGGATTTTGTTCCAAGTGTATTCTGATGCATATTCTATTATATGGATGCTGATTCTTTTTTGCTGTGTTGTATTTGAGATACGGTCCGGTTTTATTCCGCTACATTGGGTTGTATTTCCAACACTTGGAAATTTATTGCGATATAATTTCTTTAACAAATGGAGAGGTACAACTATCATTCTTAACTGATTCTATATTTTTAGCGAAAACATTTTAAACTATTTTGATATCCTCTTTTTTAGGATGGAAGTGGCTCTTCTATTATTTAACTACAATGTGCATACCTTACATGCAATCATTTTATTTAGTGATTGGAGCTCTTTATTTATTCATTCCTATAATGGGACGGTCTGGTGGCAACATAAATTCAGAAGTTGTCATGGCTAACACATTGTCTATACTCTTTTGTCTGCTACTTAGTTTCTCGGTAGATTATGAAACATGTTACCAAAAGTTAACATTATTAAAATGTAATTTTCTAATCTTAACAATATTTCTTTCAGTTACCGGTAGTTCTTTTGATTAAAAACGCAAAGCAATTTCTATATATATTAATTGAAATATTTTTGATAAGTATTGGAGCATTATTTTTAACTCGGTTTGGTTTCCCGTACAGTGGTAATCTATCGTCATTGGCACCAGAACGTTTCATGATTGCGGTAATAATCAAATATTCAAAAATCAATAATCAATAATCAATATTTTTAAAGAATATCACACATTTTATAGTATTAAATGAACATTTGTAGCATGCACAAAGACAATATTATGATGTTAACGGTAACTTACGGCATTCGGGAACTGGCTATTGGATAGCTGATTTAGACATGAATAGTCCACACAGCGTTGAAGCTATGGTGCCTGAAATAACTGCAGCAACATCCACTATGAAAGATTGTGAACATGAATTATATTGCGGCCTACCATATTTTATGCCAGTTACGACTTTCTTATCGTAAGTAGTATACAACATATTTCAATAATCAAAGTAACACATATCTAACACACAATATTTTTTATTAGAAAAACAAGTTGGATTCCAGGACCTGCACCTCTCGTCAACATTCCTACAAAGCTAGACCTTGTTTCAAAATCTATAAAACAAAATATTGTCACCTTTACGTTTAATGTTACAGGTAATTTTTCAAGGAACATATGTATGCATATCCTATAAAGTAAATGTTGGAAATCACATAAATGTTTTCTTTTTAGGTCCTGATCACATAAGCATAATTTTATCTCCATATAAAGGTGTCCATCTGGAAAGATGGTCTATTTTAGAAGGAAATCCATTACAAGGACCCAAATGGAATGATAGAGAAACGTATTTTGTTTATTATTCTTGTGCATCTGATTGTATTCCGTATACATTCTCCATTGAATTAAATGTAAGTGTAGTTGATAAAATACTACATGCAATTGTTGTACGTTATGTAAGACACTTTTTTTATTTATATAGGTTCCCTTTGCACAAAAGACACCGTGTTTATCTGTAGCATTAGGTGGCCATTTTCTTCACGGTAAGCATCAAAAGTCTCTAAGATTTAAACGGTTTTTGGCTCAGTTTCCATCGTGGACCGTTGTTACTCCATGGACAGCAACATACACTTCATGGCAATTCTAACAAAACATCGAATAGATATCCCATTATTAAACACAGTTGCATAAACTATAGTCAGTGAGAGCCTAACGAAGACGGCACTGTATATTAGAATAGTTCTCAATACGATTCAAAGACATATACCTAACAATGCAATTTATAAGCTTAAGATTTAGAAGAATATTATATTAAATACATGCTAACTTCGTGCAAACGCGGTTCAGCAGGACACATCGATCAACATAAAGGAAACAATTTAAAGAATGAAACATTCGTCATTCTATTTATACAAAATTTTTTACTAGTACATTACCGAGGTAGTTCTAAGACGCTGATTTCGCTGAAAACAGCGCAAAAGTACCACTGATCTTATCACATTGACACTTCACTAATTACAGTTACCTATTGTAGAGAAATATGACGATGGTAGCATATCAATTGTATGCCTTAGAATAATTACAGCTACATTTATTTTTTAAATGCTAGAAATTTAACATTATTACATACGAAAAGGTCTATAATAATCGATAGAAATTTATAAATACTTTACATGTCGCTAAGGTTTCGCGGTATTATCACGGTTATCGTTTTATTTTGTATTCTGTATATTGAAGGATAACTCGTGAAGAGTCATTTTTATTTAATGAGTAGGAAAGTGATAAAAGATAAGAACTGTAAAAGCACAAAAGATGGTCTATTCGTCTGCAAGAGGATTCTTCTTAATTTAATTTAACGCCAATTATCTGTTATTAAATCGCGCAGTTGTCGCCCACGTTTTGTATAAATGAAATACGTTTGTCATTTTTTTCTGTACAGTTTAAATCGTTAAAGAATTCTTAGTTACCTGACTAAGTTAAATTATAAAATTCAAAGACGATTTTATTTAATATTCTGGTCTGTCTTCTCGTATGGCTGTTACTATGAAGAGACTGAATTTGTTTTAAACTTTGTCTTTACCTAGGTTGTTTACACGTGACACCGGTGAACATATACAATTGTCCCACTGCTTCGTTAAATAATTGTGTACGGTTTTGTTCTCATATACGAATGAAGGCCACTGTACCCTTTTAAACAAATATCTCCGACGACAGAGCAGTTGAAGCATTTATTGAAATAATTACGCGTTTAAAATCTAATTATAAGACATTTTTGCCAATATTGATAGCCAATTTTGTAGTTATAAGTAAATCCGAGGTATTTATAGAAATTGACACTTTTACACGTGTAAAAGGAAAATATATTTAAGACGGTTAATAGCGTATGTTCTGCTGTCGAGAGAATTTAATTTTGTACGCTAGAATTTAACAGATCTCATTTGAAATTCAATTCAAGATCGTATCAGCGGATAATTTGAAGTGTCGATATTTCATTGGTGCACTCATTTTTGCCTAATTTATTCGTAATTATTTTATTAATTGAATTCTTCTGCGACAATGCCAAACCATGCTGATAAAGCAAGTTCATTGCACAATTTATAATCGTTCTACTTAACAATGGTGCACTATGTTAAATAATAGTATTTGTTATGGTGTTCTGATTTTATAGTTACAGGGATGTATTTACAATGGCTGAAAAATGTCATTGTGTTATATTTTATTCCATGTAAGAAGACTTTTGTTATTAGTTGTTACCTTAGATACCAAACATTATCGGTCGCAAGCTTACTTTTGTTCACCTAAAATAATTGTAATCGATTAACTGATGATTTTGTTGCCCCTGTGTTTGTTGTTTTTGTGAGTTTATTAATATTTTAGTATTCATACTATCCCGATTCCTTTTACAGTTTACATTATTGTACATTATACGTATGCTATTGTAATTTGTAGATTGTTAAACAAGCAAACACAAGTGAAAAATAAAGACAGTTGCAAAAAAAATAAAAAGAATTTACTCTTCATTCTGCCGGTTGTTCCACCATCCGGTGTACAGTGAAAATACGCTCGATTCGTGAGACACATTTTATCGGTTTTATCGATTGAAATTCGGCTCCAATGCCAGATAAGGATTAGACCTTGATAAGCTGAAATTTCTCGTAATTCCAGTTACAGCATTACGTCTGCGGTTACTCATCACTCGGTGTCGTTCATTGTGCCGAATTAATTTCCTGTTTCCGAGTTCTGCTCGATTACGTGGAAAATGGGAGGGTTCAATTATCGACCTGCGCTAAACTTTAAGCATTCCAAATATAAAAAACCTTGCTCAACACAATAATGATAAAACGTATCCCATACTACTCTGCAAGATCCGAAACGACCTTCCATTTTTAATCCTCGATCATTTTTATCTCATCATTTAATCATAACTTCCTTCTTCAAAATTTATAACGGAAATTTTTTTCACATTCAACCCTTTATACCGTAGATTTAACATCCGTCGTTAGTAATGTTTAATATTTAACAATCTACAATTTTGTACAGTGTCAGTGCTTTGCACTGTTCGATTGATAATTCCATCGGTAAAAAATCATACAATCAATTTACAGTAACGTTCTCAATGGACTAAGGTCTTAAGAAATGTTTCGTAGACCGATCCGGAGGATCCAGGTTTCGCGGGATCGGATGTCCGATTGTTCTCTCCACCGTCGGGCCCTCTTTCTCGTTCCGTTTCGTAAGAAACGTGTCAATATTGACGCGCTGGCATCCTGTAAGACGAGAACGGTTTCCCGGTTAAAGCGAGCCGCGTGATTCGTTTCGTTTCGTGTCGTGAACACGATGGTTTGCAAACGGCTCGTGGATCCCGGCGATCGAGGAGCGTTCTCCGTTCGACCGCAGCCGAAAGACCGGAAGTGCTCCGCGCGATTTCTGGCTCGCGGGAAGCCAAGCGCGATCGCGAGAGTTATCAGTGGATCTTTACGAGAAGTTCAAATTTCCCAAAGAACCTGGAGAAACGAAGACTGACGTCTTCAAACAGCAGTTTGATTTTCTAAAGTTTCATTCACATTTTCAAATCGCTTTTCGTACAGAAATAAAACTGTTCAGGGATTTTATTGCTGTATCATTTTGACTAATATATTATGCTTTGTGTCTGAAATTATCTTACTAGAAATTTCCTTCGTTTTATTCTAAGAATTTTCTGTGGATTAACTGCAGTACAAAAATATACAGAGTTGCAAAGAGATAAGTAAGAATTAATTTGTTCCGAAAATCTGAATAAGTTGAAGATAAAGTAACAATATTCTTATAAAAACGGTGATTGTCCTTTGGTTTATATTCTATATATTACTGTGTCCGATAAATACATAAAATCCACTGTCTATCTATCAGGGTTAGCCGACAAGCCGATATTAACCAGATAAGAAACGAATGATCAAAGACAATGGCATCGCCTTTGCTCGTTGTTTCACTGGGCGGCGGGCCTTCGCAACTTTATCTTAATGGAAATTGCCCGTTCGAATTGCTTGGAACTTTCGAAAAACTATGGGGAACGATAACGATCGGCTCGGCCGCTGATAACTCTTGCTCCGAAAGTTTATCGAGTGAGCAGGTGCAGACAGTTGTCGGAAATCGGTGATTAGTGATCGTTGAAGATAACTCGAAGGGATTCGGTGTGCTGGACGGATTCCCTTTGGAGAGTCGGAACAAACGAGCCAGGTGATGGAGACTGCCCTTTCATTGTTGAGAATAATCAAGGAGCTGTAATTCTGATCATCGATCGCACTGAGTCTTAACTAAGATTGCCAATCCAATTGACTACGGTCAGAGTTGAAGCCTGACCGGAAAATAATGCTACACGTGATTTTCTAATCGTTCCGAGTGATTTATATATAGAATTCCGTTCGAGTTAGAGCAACAGCTTTAACGAATGCAATTGTCTAAGCGTTAATTGCACCGCGAGCTCGCAAATCGCGGCACGGTGTAATTATGAGTCGTCCGTAAAATGGCTGGTCGAAGAATCCGGCAGGTGAAGCTGGTTATCGATCGCCTCTCAACTGGAGTTAATTATTATTTTTCATTGGTCGATATATTTTCGGCGAGTTCTGACAATTCCCTTGCAAAAGACAGTTACTAATCAATTTTCATTAATCGCGGAACGAGATCGCGTTCGTTAATGCCACTGACAAACTCGACGAGATCCGTCATTCCGGAAAATGTACGATTTCCCTGTGAAAATCATTCGAATCTTTATAGATTCGTACTTTATTGTTGCTCGGATTCTTTTGTACTAATCCCCGCGCCGAACTGTACCCGTTTGTTCTTCAATTAGCAGCCGGCTGACTTTTTTTTCGCGTCGCACAGAGGCTACCTCATTTGCACGGCCTACTTCTTGCGAGATTTCTGCTTCTTTATGCCTCTCGTTCGTTTCTCTCTCTCTCGTTTAAGGGAGGCAGTCTGTATTCCGCGATATAGGGCGAGCCTTGACCACCCTGCATTCACGCGACAGCGAACAATGCCTATTATATCGCCGAATAATTCGTTCGTATATATCACAGGAATCGATCCACGAATTCCAATTGCAACAATGAATCATAAGCAACATATTCCTAGTAAAAATCGATCGCTGTATACTTTCGAGAATAATTCCAAACACTTCTCAACTGTCCTACTAGGCAACTGTGTGAATTCAATGCCATTATAGTTCATTAAAAAGAAAATGGTGGAACCTCGCCTTCCAGCGAATCAGGAGCTTTACTGTCACACAAATCGCGTCTTCTCTAGACCAGTTTCTTAATCCGCGATCCTAGAAGCTCTAGATAGCCGAAGTAATATCTACAGAAACTGACAAGCAAGAATTTAATAATCCAAAGCATCGTTGCTCGCAAAGTTCTCGAAAACTTCCGTCTTCCGATAGCGAAGAAAACACGGACAGCAAATCCGTCCATCTTGTGACGTCAACGTACAGCTGACTCACTCGGCCGGCCCGTTTGCGTTTCCGTCGGTCCATTTTTCCGACAGAACAGAATTAGGCATCCAAATATCCAGAACCGGATGGACGCCGTGGACGGGGGCCGTGCATACGTGCCCGTTCCTCCGGGTTCCCCGTGTAAGCACGCGGTTCTACGGTCTTATATGTGCAACCGTGTCTACGTGTCCCGCTTACCGATCAATTCGTCCACCATAGGCCTTTTTCTTTTTTTATTCCCTTCTCTCCCTACCGCGCCGACGGATCGTCGCGTGAATACCATTCGCCGAGGAAGAGGAGGAAGAGAACGGTAGCCCCGCTGGACTTTCTCCGCGGCCGTTCGCCGTTCTGCTTACTAATCCGCCGCCATTTTCCTTTTATCTCCGCATCTCGCGCCCTTGCTCATTCGATCCTTCTGTTCCAGGCAGCCCGGTCTCGATCCTCCTCGAAACGAAAGCGAATTTACCGAATAATCCGATGACGTTTCCTCCGAAGACGTTTCTTGATTAATGGCTCCTCGTTCGTCGATCATTCTAATCCGGCGACATGGCGGACGTCGCGCGGGGAATTGGACGATCGAATAAGCCTTTTATCCAGCGATAAAAAGCATTCTTGTTCAATCGTTATTATCAGGGATGAGAACTTATCGCACCGATTATTTGTAAATACGACTTGTCGATGTACATCACGTGCCGCAGCGGATCTCGCCGATCGTTTGCATCTTTCGAGATATCAGCGGCGAAGAAAGTCGCGCAGAAATAACGGTAGTTTAGGGAATCGGCGGAGACCATTCCTCTGTAAACATTAATCTTGTCCCAGCTGTTTGACGAGCAAACCGCAGTCTGTACACGGAGTCTATATACATTGAATGTAACTAATACGACCGCTAATAACTCACACATTATGCTCTGAAGCAGGCCTGTCCAACCACTTGCCCGTAACTCTGCCGTGGGCAAAGGTAGCTGATGTGTACTACTTTGTAAGTGTACAGTATGATCACCCGTCTTAACACGCTAAATGCTATATCAGTCACCGATGACTGATGCTTCTGAATTACTTGAAAACAATCGTAACATGCAAGATAATCGACGTCGAATCAGAATGTTTAGTAACGTAACTAAGTTGATAATAGTGCAATGCAAAGACTGTAACGCCGGATAGTGAATAATTGTTGCTACTTTTCTTTGTCAAAAAGGATAACTGTACAGAAAAATGTACAGATCGGCTCTAAAGTATAAAGCATTCGTTATCTTTTCAATAATTATGAAAAACCGTAAATCCAATGCAATACTGTAAAACAAAGGGTTAACCCTTTGCACTCGGAAGTTTTTCACTAGAAACATTTCAAAATTTTCTGATGAGACAAAGACGATATTTCATGAAACTAACTCGACGAGAAATCACATACATCGAGGAACAAAGCTATTTGATTTCAATATTTCTCAAATTGATGAACCCTTTGCAATCAGAAGGCGACTCAGTCACTCGATTCGACGCAGTAAAATTATTTAAGTTCAACGTTTAATACTAAATTCTCTATAATGTATCAACATACGGGATACTATAAATAAAACAGCTTTATTCCTCAATTTATATTCACTGACCCTTTAACTTAGTCTTGAAAAATGTCATTTACACCTCCTTGGAAAACGTTGAGTATTTCTAAAGAACCTTCCACCACAAGGGTTAAACATCAAATTTTACAGTTTCACTGTAAAAAATCAAGTAGTGACTCTTAGCTATGCAACTTCGCTAATTACCACAGCATTGAAAAAAGTATAAAATTTAATTCGAATTAATTATCTATTTAAAATATATTACACAACAATATAATATCCGAGTTTTTCTATGTATAGTGATTTAAGTTGACCTCGGTGAAAATTTTCATCCGCACAATTCAGTTTTCTGAAAATTAGCCGGTACGCAATGTGTTAAAGATCAAATTTTATAGTTTTACTGTAAGAAATCACGCGGCGAGCGAGAATCAAGTGTGGGGCAATTGTAAAGTTTCCGTTGGCCG